AAACTTTGGTTAGTTATACATGCATTACATTTTCTAAAAATCTGTTGCTAAAATATAAAACATCAAAATACACAAATGGCACTGGAAACAACCATTGATAAAAGGTTAAAATGTAGTTAAAAGCATGTTAAAATATTAAAACAAAAAAAAAACATCTTGACCTGGTAAAAGGTGTAAGGTTATGGTTGTAAATATTGTACAGATTGATTTAAGTAATTACAGATAAAATATTTATTCTTCGAACTGCGTGCATTTCAGTACTCATAAATTGTAATATGATGACCTTTATTATCATGAGCAAAAAAAAAAATGATGGCAAATATTAAATTTTGTCTATTTGATGCTGTAAAGTATATAAAAACATTTTTACATATAATACAATATCCTGAAGAACAATTAAATACACATAAATAATTACATGAAAGTTTGCATGAAGTAACAATCTAATTTTAATTGCGAAACACCACATATAAGGCTTTGAAAAAGTCAAAAGATGCAGCTGTTTATCTGAAAATACAATCTCCTTCACTAACAACACAACAGGTCTTTTTATGGTGTTTGTATCAAAGTGCAATTATGTCTGCTGTTAACTTTTCTAGATTTATAATAATAGATTGATTTATAATAATAATAATAATAATAATAGTAAATAGTAATAGTAAATAATAATTTTTTATTTGTCCTCATTCAATGAAAATTGGAATTTTGGGCTGGGTCTCTAGGCATCCACGGGAGCCGCAGTGCATTGTCACCTGACGTAACTTCAACATATTACAGACAGATACAAACATTATCCTTAACCCGCCTAACTCTCAATATGAGGTTTATTCGAGGAGCCAAGCTATCAGACTCCAATTATAACTCGCTGGCCGTGGGTTTGGACCAGAGTCTTTATCGCAAGAATCAGGTACAATACCCCATCTTTCCCCATAATTAACTACTCTGTATTCGAGGAACCTGTTAAGTGCTTATACTTAAAACAACAAGCCATCAAATATACATTAACATAAATGGAACATTGGCTAGTTTAAAGCACCTTTCAGAGGCCCTAATCGAATATTTTTAGTTCTTTAATTGAATTACCTTTCAAATACAAAATGTAAATCAACCCGGTGTTTTTTTCTAATTTTTCATGACAAAATTCCTACAGGGTTTGAAGCAAATAATTATGAATTGAACAGTTGGTAGTAGCAACAGGACATACAGGATTACTAGGCCTGTCAGTTGCACGTACATCATTGACATTCATTAACAGATTTTTCCTGCTTCAGTTTTATGCGGTTTATTTTGTATAACATTTATTACCTTTTTATGCATTCACCAGTAGCACTGTGGCAGTGACTTGGCTCCTACATGGGTGGAAACTAGTAATATCATAATGATGATAAATTCAATAATAAAAAATGTGTAATAAAACTGACAATAAGAATGATAATAATGATAATAATAATAACAGCGATGAAGAGGACACTGCTGCTGCTGATCTCGCTGTTATCGCTATTATTGTTGTTAATAGACATTTTGGGCAAACTCCGTATCCGTATGCATATGGATGAAATTCGCGTACTACCTCACAGTCTTTGTGTAGTGTGGCGTCAATACCGTGTGTGATACAGGTTTTCGATGTGTTTTTGGCGTATTGAGCCCATTTCACACGTAAGTTGAAAAACATATGAAGTTATTCTGGTATATTACTTTTTTAAGCTTGAAAACAAAAAGGCAAGTTCTGTCAAAGCAGAACAGACTATTCAAGGCAATGCTGACAAAGTTTTGGACTATAAATTCTGCATGCAAGTGATACAAAGTCAAAATTTGGCCTGACTGTCAAATCAACCTAGACCAAGGGCTGCCATTTTAAGTGCTACTGCCCTCTTATGGTACGTCACATAATTTTTGCCCAAATGAAAAAAGCTACGAATTCAAACTTATCCGTATACGTGTTCTGAGACTGATAAGTATGCATATACGTTAGTTTGCCCAAACTCTCTATTAATACTTTCATTTCTGTATAGTTATTGAAAATCAAAATTATTATAATTAATTTCATTATTATTATCATTATTATTATACTGATTATTATTGTCATTATTATTGTTATGAATATTATTATTTTACTAGTAGTTATTGTTCTCTGGTACCATATAATTCTAGAAGTACAATAAGAAATAAAAATGTAATTAATTACAGAACACATTTGAATACCTCCATAGGAATGTAATGAATAAACAACTCTTTGAATTACCCACATACTCTATTCAATTCATTTCCTAATACATAGGTCATTTTCTCTTTTGTACGTTATACCCAATTAAATTAAAATGTCATATGGAGTAATCATTATCCTTTAACTATTGGCTAGCTGCCAAAACCAATCAATATACGCACAAGGTGACAATCACGAGTTCAGCTGCTAAAGACGTTGGGTCTCGTGCAAATGATCTTATCTATAATTTGATCCATGTTTGATGTAAAATTTCCTGGCCTATAATTTCAAACGATAAATTAAATCGGACGTTGACTCCTTAGACATAAGTTCTTATTCCAATTTTATGTTCTATTTACTGGTAAATGTTTCAATTATATGCATTGTTTTTAAATTCTGTTGAAAGTTTGTAATGATTTTTTACTTTTTTTGTTTTTTTGTTTGTTTTTTTCATTGTGCATTTAACAGCATTAAGTATTCTTATCATCAATATTGTTTGTTGTTATTCTTACTTGTTTAATAACTTGCAGTTTAATTCCCCCCAAAAAATTTATGTAGTACTGTATATAAATACAAAAATATTTTTTGTAGGACTAAGTATATGTTTGGCATTATTATTATTTAATAATAAAAACAATAATCAACAATAATTGTTTTTTTTTTTTTTCATTGTGATTTTTTTCAATTGTTTTCTTTTTGTTATTTACGTTTTTTATCTGCAGATCAGCATTCTATTATGCAAAAGTTTTACAAATTTAAAATCATTAAACTATTATGCAATTTGTTTCTTTTGGGATATAGTATTATTTTTTTATATATTCATTATTTATTTTCTTTTTTTTAATCTATATTGTGATTGGAATGGTTTACAAAAAACATTTATTGATTATTTCTTAATGGATATATATAAATATCATTTTTAATGCCTTGGGCATTATACTGTGTAAGAGTTTTTCTTCCTTCCTACTTATTAAACTTTCTGTGGCACTTTAACTTATTTTTACAAAATGATAAAGATTAAGTAATAAAACAAATAGAATAATTGGCTGGAATTTGGGATTTATTCAAACCCTGAAGGTAGAAAGTTCACAGGGAGGATGATATCCATTTTAAATTGGGTTAAACCATATCCGTGGATTTGAACTGGAAGTGAAGGCACAAGTGTGGAGGCTATGTGTCACGATATCCGACTACTGAGTATCCTTGGAGGTGATACAGGAATCCCTGCGTATTCGTTGGCATCCAATCGAATCTGTATCTCACAAGTCAAATGTCAGTATAGTTTTCTGCCACTGGGATAGATTCATTTCATAGTGTTTATAACATTTCATAGGACGTCTGAGAGGTAGTAATGCATAGTATCATTCCGAATCCAGAAACCAGAGACCCATCACGTTTACTCTAATACTCCGTGTCATCTCCGATTAAAGAGAACGTGCGTATTCATGGATGCCATGGTGTAAAGATCCTAAGTTTAATTATTTCAGCCTGTAGTCGTCGGTAGTGATCGCTTTTTTGATAGATTATTATATCCTGAAAACATGATTGGTATCTTGTAAATAATTATGGGATGGTTTTTGTCTATTTATATTTTGTGCCTACTCACTAATTCGGAAAAGTTGTTAATTTTTCCAAGCTGTTCTGGCTCCTAGTCGCGCTATGTAGGAACATGATCAGGAAGAAAACCCTATCTAATCATAGTCATATGAGAGAAGGCAATCCTATGTGTCCGGCTAAAGCATGCTATCCCTATAATTGCGTCAGCGGTACTTCTACACATAGAATACTGACGTCCATTTGCATTCTCCGATGACCACAGCTTTTTTATTGTTATAACTACTGATGACTATCACAAAAATATCTAAAGATAATTAAATAATAACTAAGGTTTGATGCACGATTTGCTTACAAGCACCAGTTCCAATTTATAACTTCCAACCTTAAATTATTTTCAACTCTGGGATTCGTCAAACTTCACTAAATTATATATATTTTTAGTAGTGACTCAACATTGTTATGCTTACTACATAAAAACCAATCTATTTCCCATTCTACCAAAGGTTTCACTTTCCTTAATTTTTAGCAAATCTTTCATATATCCAATAATCTTAACATCTTATTTTACCTCTTTTAACTAATATTAAGCCCTATAAAGTATTTAAATGTTGTTTTCTTTTGCCAAAATTTTTTTCTTTTGTGTTTTTTGCATTTTTTTTTTTTTCATAAATTGTCAATATAAACCTTTAATTCTGTACCTACACTGACATCAAGCTTGTCCCCATCTCTAGTTACTTTCTTATATACAGTGGTAGAAAGAAGCATAATGGATACCAACTACTGTATCTGATTTTGCCAGTGGTGTATCAATGGTAAATTAATCAACATTGAATACTGTTTTACACAGAGTAATTACATAGTGAAATACATAATCTGAAAACACTTCTGATGCTCTATCTATAGCCAGGGTACATTTTGATTTTCCTTGTCAACGCCATTTCCATACTGTGGTTTAGGTGCTTTCTTGACATAACAATCCTTTTGGTTTCTGGGTTGTATTACATTTTGCTGCATTTAAATAAATTTTAAGTTTCTGATCAGTCTCATTACATATTTTGAAGACGCTCCACGTAGTTTTGTTGGCAGCAGTTCACAGAGTCCTTGGATGTTACCAAGGTTCCATACTTCAAAGTGCATAGATTTGATATCACAGAAATGTAAAATCATGCCATTATACAGTTTGTTATCTTCATCACTTTTTTTTTTTATTGTTTTACAAATTATTATTGTTTTGATACAGGTTTTAAACATCACTGGTAATGAAGACATATGTTATTATAACTTCCTTTGTGCAAATCCAGCTGGTGTCATTAGGTAAGAATGCATATATTATAATGTTTTATAAATGTCATTGTTTAATCGTACAATTATCCTATAATATGGAATACAGTACCATTTTCGTACCATGACTGTTCATGTTTCTATACTGCCTGCTTGATAGAATTCAGTAAAATTAGTAAATTGAAGTGAAGTAAAGTTCAAGTTGAATAGCTTCGTGGTTAACAGTTTCATGTGGAAGTCCATCAACAGATTGTTCACTTTTTCTCCTTTGGTGGGTCGTTTCGGCAGATTACAAAGTAAAAAAATGCAGAGCCAATCAGAGCTTGAAGAAAAAGTTTGACGCCCCCTTGAGCGCAGAATCGAATCGATGATTGTACGAGTCACCATGGCACACCAACATTGACAGTGACAACATGGTGGCAGTGTTTGTGAAAAATGTTGTATTTTTGCGAATAAATTCGCCTGGTGGAAAAACAGGCTTAAGATGCGTGTTGCCCAATCCCAGGATCCTAGGTTCAAACCCCGTCACAGCAGGGGTTTTTTTTTCTCATGACTAAAATTAACTGGAATCCCTAGGCCAATAAAGAGACTTACGATGCATCATTCCATCCCGTAATTGATGAGTTACTTGCTATTAGATGTGAAAGAAATATAGATGAAATGAAACTCTCTCTGTAATTCATTCATAGCCACATCATAGAGATAGAATATGAGGCTTGCCTTTCCAAAACCAAGCATACTGTCGCTAATTGTTAAACGGAGTAATTAGCATAAGAATGTGGCTGTAATGTATACATGCCATAATTAAATATTTTTACTCATAACTTTTGCAATAAGTCGATTCTAGTAAACGACCCTTCATTTTAAAGCTTACAATATGAAAAATACGAATATATTAAAAAGTCAATTTTAATTTTTTGTGCAGTAATGCTGGTTTTTGTAAGGCAAGCCTTATGCTTAAAGTAAAGATATTAAAAATAACAGTTAAGAAAACTATAGAGATGATGGAATCTAATGATGTCATTTTTAAATCTATACTTTGTGATTTTTCTTTTTCAGTGCATTCAACAATGTTTTCAGCAACATCGGCTACATGATGTTGGGTATCCTGTTCTTGCTCCTTGTCTACAGAAGGGAATACATGTACAAGAAAGAACTTCAGATGGGAAACCGAAGATCAGAGGTTAGCTCAAAATATCGAGGAAAACAATAATAATTTACTTACTTGCTTGCTTACCCATTTTCATATGTCCGTTAGGGATTTAAATGGTAAAAATAGCAAAAATATAAAAGTAAACCACATCCACTAAGCCCCACCCCCCTTTGATGTTGTTGTTATGGTCCCACAAAACGAGAATGTACACACCATAGAGATATAATAAGAATACTAGAGCGCTACTGCAATGTATTCGATGTTCAAAATATGCAGAGCTGTGTGTGTGTACCATCCAAGATGGCTCCCATAGATTCAGCCAATCAAATTTCGCCTATGAACTATCATTTTCAATGGCATTCTCAATTTACACAGAAAGTTTAGTACAGCTAGTTACCCATATGTTTGAAACTCGAGCGTTGCGGTGTACAGGTGTAAAGTACACGATTTTAATTTTTTAAATATTTTTGAATAAGATGCTCTACTTGGCCTCTTTTTACGATAGTTTAATAATTTGTTATTATCAATACTAATTATCATTAATAAAATAAGAGTCAGTCAGAGGGCTTATTCATGGTAATAATATGTATGCTAAGCCTGAAGATGGCGCTTTCCTTCGGCGGCCATCATGGATGGTACACATACACAACTCTGCATTTCTTCACCATCTTGTCAGCACTCTAGTTGTTTAATAGCTCTATGGTACACACACATACATGTGTTTGTAGGATGCACATATTCCTGGCCCTGTTATTGGTCAGTTATTTGATTGACACTCCAGAAAGGTCCAATAAGAACATACACTTGTAAAAAACTTAATAACAATCTTAATCTAGTGCATTATCATGTTATAAACAAGAGCAACCGTTCACCATTCCTCTCGTTAAAATGAGGTTACGTCTATTCAGCTTTTAACGCTTTATGTGTCCACCTTTCAGACAAGGCTTTTTGTTGACACTTTAAAAGAAAATGCTTGAATCGTGGAGGAAATATCCCCCAAGTTTAAATATGGTACACAGTGGCATAATTGGGTTTTCGGCAAGGGTTCATAATTATCATTACTTACTAACCACTAACAGAAAAAATAAAATATAAAAATAAATAATAAAAATAAAATAATTGAAAAAATTCGACTTTTTAATTTTAAGCACTTTTTAAGCTAAGCAATATTGATAAATATGACTTAAGCAAAAACATAGATTTAAGACGAATTTGAGCTGATTTCTAATTTCTAATTTGATAAATCCGCTGGGTCTATACATTGCACAAAGATTACAAAACAACAATACATAATAGATTGTTTGAACAATACATATAAATTTAAGATTTTAGGGTAAAGTCATACAACAGTAATATTGTTATAAAAATTTAAAAAAAAAAATAATTCCAATGAACTTATTAAAATTGAGGTTTATTTTATTTTATTCATTCTGGCAAATACATAATTATAAAAACCAAATATCCATAAAGGTGAGCCAGGGAGTAGCAAAAGCGAAAGCACACTGTCATCTCAGAGATGTTCTGATCTGAGCTTGAACTTTCATATTAAGGTTCAAATATATAATTGCAAGTCTAGGTTTAAGATACTAATAAGGTATATAGAATTGGGCTTTTCTTGTACCTGTTAGTTTTGAAAGTAGGTGGTTTGAATTGATTTTTCTCTTCTCAAGCTATTGTAGAATTCATTGAACAATTAGCTCTCTATAGCCTTTGATATTATTCACATAAATAAGTTATAAATTGAAACATTTTTTTTTTCTCAAAATTCCTTTTCAGAGATGTGGAATACCTAAGCATTTTGGTCTATTTTATGCCCTTGGCATCTCCTTGTTCATGGAGGGTGTTCTGAGTGCCTGCTATCATGTTTGTCCTAATTATTCTAATTTTCAATTTGGTAAGTTGTTAATAATAGTAGTAGTGTAGATTTGTATAGTGACGGTATCCATCAAACAAGATGCTCAGGGCGCTTACTATGTGGACTAGGAACTCGATCAATGAATTTCTTCACCCCTAAGGGTCCCTTTGTGTCTGTGCTATCCGGTAACTTGGTACCAGCAACTCTTGTCGTCTGCCACAGGGGCTGTCTGTACCGGTACACTGGGATATCGTCTACTCGTGCCGTTCGAACCAGCGTTCGAATCATTTGGACAATTGATCATATTATTCGCACTTTCAACCAATCAGATGCCTAGGATGTGATATATCATATACTGTAGTTTATTATATATCCAAACACAGATAGCTCTAAATATTATAGTAGTTTCTACTTTAACATCTATTAAAAATGACAACACACTCCTATCAGACTATATCATGTATTCAATTGGTAGGCTTTTTAAATTTATGAATATGCATAGTAAATGAAAATAAGTATCTACTAAGGTCTATTATTGTCTTTCTACTAAGACTTCTATAGTCTATTAAGTTTTTTTTGCCATTGGTGATCAGATTTTTTTTATCAGATTTTATATGAAATTAGGGCATTGTTTGACTTCAAACATATCAAATACTGTATTATATTGAGCTTTGGGAAACAAAAAACATTTTCCAATTTTCCTTTCTAATGAGTTTTGTCATCGGTTTGACCTTTCCTGTACTTCACCTACAAAAAGGTTATTTGAAAGCAGTAATTAACTGCTCTAACCTTGAAGAATGTTAGATATGTAGAAATCAAAAGTTGGACGTTTCAATTTCTACAGATGCACATTAGTTTCATTTCCCCTCTGTATTGAATGATTCAAGTTCAAAATTTAATTTAAGGTCATAACGAGTGCGGACCCCCAATAAAACCAAAAAAACAAATTGAGGGAAACAGTAAAAATTAATTGTATTTAAGGTAATAGATTTAAAAATATTCAGCTGTTGCATGAATATCAATATTTTTCTATAAGAATTAAATATATTCGGCAAAAAATGCATATGGATGTCTTCACTCATACATATTAAAGTATGTACGTGTATCTACCACATCTTGCACATGTGCAGATAATCTGTCTCATTCATTGACATCCACCACGGAGTGTGTCTTTTGCCTTGAAAAAAATGTTATCTCGGATTTGCAGGCATGAGTTCAACATTACTCTAGATTCATACCAGTTGAAATCAAATATAAGGAAGTTGAGGCAGCTTGTGTCTTATTGATACATATCGACGACAATTTCTTACACTTTTCCTCGTAAGGTCTTCGAGGAATTTTTTTTTTACTTTTCATATTCACATGGCTTGCAAAATTATTACAGGATGCAACTCATGATCTTATTAAAGTCTCCCTCCTCGTCTTAACGTCTAAAGATTAATATCACACTGATGTAGGATATAAGTTATAGCTTAAAGATAAAAAAAATATAACTTAAGACGTAACAGTTATTTCGTTATTAACTTCTGACATATTTAAAGAGGGATTTAGTTATTGAATTTGATGCTAATTATCTTTAAAATCTGTGTCATTATATTTCTTCCCGCTGATATACTGTAAATCTTTACATTTGTATGACCTTCGAATGTCACAATTTCATAAATTTTGAAAACCTTACATAATTAGAGAGCCCCAGACAAATACATTTTGGCTTGATTTTAAAATACATTGAAATTCTGACATTTTAAATCCAATAATTAGTGGATAGGTTTGTCAATTTTGGCTTAAATTGCGATTACACAAGTAGCATTTATAGAGGGTGCACTTTTACTTGTGCTCCTGATTGCATGGTTTTCATCGCCATTGGAATGTTATATCAGGAATTTTTATTAGAAAATGCTTGGCTCTATATTTCTGATTATCTAATTAACTTATTGTCATAAATAATTTCCTGTTTTACTAAATTATTATAAGTTGCCTAGGATAGCCTCTGTAGGAGGCAAAGAAGCTTATTTGGCTAAAATTGTGGTGGTGACTGAGTGCGTTGAACCGTGGAGATCCTTTTAGGTGATTTGTTCCCTGGTTCAATTCCAGTCACTGTTGCTCGTGCGCTTCAGCCAAATTGCTTATACTTCAACATCCTGGGCCTTTCGGATGAGACGTTTAAGCTGCCAGTTCTGTGTACGGCCTGGTGCGCACATGCATGCTTAGTATAAGAATAATTGTCTCCCAGTTTACTGCCTAATTCACCACCAGAAGGGCCCCAGTGGAAATAAGTCTTCAGATTTTAGTGGGTTATACTTGGTATGTTTCACACCAACAATAATCCTATCCTATCCTACCTTATCCCATCTCCAGGGCAAACCAATTATTTATCTGATTCAAGCACCACAATTGTCAAAAAAATAAATTTTGATTACCCACTAGCAGAGTGTCCACAGTTCCCCTAGGTGTTAATCCAAATTATTAATTCTTAATGACAGCTATTATGAAGAATGATTAGAATTTGAAAATAAGGATTATGAGAGGACCGTATCTACGCTGATCTTTAAGTAGCCAATCTGACTAAAGGGGAAATTATGAGCGGTTTAATATATGTAACGGATTGACAGTTCATCTAATTGAGGAGGATGCGTAGAGGATCTAGGTCAGTGCTTCATAAAGGGTGCACAATAATTCACATACAGACTGATGACTGACACGATAAGCAATATATAAGCATCTGTATATATATATAATCTCATTGTTTTACTGGTTTTATTAAGAGCAAGCAATGTAGGGTTTTTAGTCAATAATTATTACTAATAAGAGTGGGAGTTGAAAACCTGCGTAACTCAAGGACGTATACTAACATTTTAACAATCTTTCACTTTAAAATGAAAGTTTTTTTGGAGAGATCTGTCCATCAGGGGAGATGAACAACACTTTGAGTTCTAACTTATCTGAGGGCATGATCCAGCTGTTTGTTTCAGGACTTCCTGTGTAGATTATATACTTTTCAACAGAAGTCGATCAAATGTATCAGACACTCCCCCGATTTTGTAGTGTTAATCTTCCTATTATTGTTTTTTTCCACGTTGCCCCCAAATTTGTGAAAACACCCTTTTTGAGTCTTACGGTGTATCAGAAAAAAATTGTCCTCAGGATAGCCTTGCTTTAAGGGAACTATTTCAGACTTGATTCTTTTGCCAAGTTTACCCATCCTAGTATTTTATTCTAATCTATGGTAGCTTTATACAATTGGTCAGGGCTTCATTAACTCCGTATGAGAGCAACAATTTTGAAAGTTTTTGGCAAGCTTAGTGTCTATCCTATTTGATGTTTGACTGGTTAAGATGTTAGAATTTATAGTTGTCATTATCAACTAATTGTTTGATGGAAATCAGAATGTATGTATTAGTCATTGAGGGGTTTTGCATTTGCCAAATTCTGTGATTTTTCACTGTTGGCAATCGGTGGTCATGCTGCCTCAATATACAAAAATTCTATAATATTTAAATTTTTTAAAATCCATCAACACCAATATAGTATCTATATCTGCCAATACAGTATTGACACAAACTATTCAATATACTTTAAACAATGCTATCATCACTATCAAGTTTTATGTGTCTAATATCTGTGATTTTTTTTGTAGTAATGGACACATAAAGAAACAACTGTATATATGTTTATAAAACTTTTTTTTCTGTATAGATACTTCGTTCATGTATATCATCGCCGGTCTGGGCATGCTCAAATTGTACCAGCAACGTCACCCTGATATCAACGCTAACGCGTATGCTTCCTATGCCTGCTTTGCGGGAGTAATTTTCATCGCTGTTTTGGGAGTTGTGAGTTAACATTTATATTTCTTTTTTATTTTTCTTGAATATGTTGTTTTTCTGTACTTGGTATGCTTTGAAGAAGCAATAGCACTTTGAGAGGATGGAAAAAGTAGGAGTTGTAGAAGACAGGAAGTTTGGAGAACTTTTTTGTGGAAAAACCAGGATGCAGTAAAGAGGGATATAGTTAGAATATACTAAGTTATACTAAGTCTGATGTGCAATAGGCAACTATCACACAGACACATCAGTGTGCTAGATTCATTATTTTGACTTTCTTTTCAGCCATCTTCATTTATTTGGTATGACCAATCAGATATCAGAATTTATTGACATTTACTGACAAATATAATAAAAATATAACAGATACTGACCCATCAAAATCATTTGTTGTTGAAACAACTACCGAACAAGTATTGAATATTAACTCAGGAATAGCTAATGATTATAGCTACTGTGTGAACATTGAACAATGTAGATATTTCAAATTCTTTTTCTCCAGTTCATTTCCATCAGTGTTGAGTGATGAAATGCATGTATAGAACATTGTTAATCCATCAGCTGTGCAGACATGTGCTTGTAATGTTCTCTTTAGAAAAGACGGTAAAGGAAATGTCCCCTGTATACAGTAGAATCCCTACTAAAATGACACCTCCAGGACCAAAATGAAAAAAAAATGGGGGTGTTTCCTGCTTAGGGGTTGGCTGTAGATGTAGATATACTTTCATTTCATGTCCCCTAATAGGTTTGTCCTGAATGAGAGGTGGTATAATACTTTTATTTACACATCACCACTAAAGACCAACTAGTCTTTGGACTTTCTCTTGTTTTATCCTAGTTTTGTTTCATACTGGGAAATCTACCATCATATTGTAATCAACCAGTTTCATACTATATACCTCAGACCTGTTTAAGAACAGTGGATATACATTAAATATTTTCTGATTTATTGAAATGTTGGTAAATTTGATTTTTCATTCCCAAGAAAGCAAATCAGTTGCCATGTGTCATGATAATGGGAGGCTATTGTGCCCCATTCAGGGACACATCTATTTCCTTCCTACTGTGCTCCTCTCCCATGGGGCTGTTTAAACAATGATTACCATTTCTTCTGGACGATAAGTTTGATGACGCAGACTTATATAATTTGGTGCCGTGCGTTCACATATGAAATTAATTTGGGCGTTGAGTGAATTTTTTTGTCTTGTTCTTACATTGGAGAGAAATGATTAAGCACTTTGTACAGGGTGAATATTAAATTAAATTAAAACAAAATCAGACAATATTTCTTGAATTTTGAAAATATTCACATGCAACCTAAAGAGTAAGGGTCATTGTCCGCACATTGTGAAAACTACTTGTGATATAACATCAATATATGATGATAAATTGTATAGCGCATAATGCCAGAGCTTTACTACGCGCTTAACATAAACAGAAATGAGGGAAGAAAAACCCAAAAGATATAACCTAAAACTAACCAAGACTGCCATGAATAGTGAAAACCGTCATCACTGGCAATTTAAGGTGCAAGACCTGCCAGTACTTTATTCACA